ATCAACCGGACGCTGCCTGGGACGTGAGCGCTCGCATCACGATCAACCAGACGCTGTAGCAGAGTTATCTTTAAAAGTGCGTGCCGCCACCAGAAATCCTATTGGTTCACTTACTTTGCTTTGTATTGCTTTGCTGGGAGCTTACGAGGAAGCCAGTAGACATTGTGCAGCCAGGATAGCGGACGCGTCTGGCCTGATGTAGGCGGAGAAGGCCGAAGAGGACCAGCGCCCCAGCTGTTGCAGAGAGGTGTGGGGGAGCCCCAGCGAGGCCGCGCGCGTGGCAGCGCCTATCCTGAAGGAGTGGGCTGTGTAGAGCTGGGGAGACAATTTACAGAGGAGCAGTAGGGATCTTAGTTGAGCTCTGAACCAGGTTGCTGTCATGGGAAGAATGTCTGGAGTGAGAAAGAGAGGTCCGTTAAGATCTCCTTTATGCAGCGGAGGCGAGTGTAACGCATCATGGATTTGTAGGGGCAGAGAGATGTGTCCGAGCGAGCTATTACTATATTGCAGGCTCCTTTGATTTTTGAATGTTTGAGACGGAGGTTGAAATGGTCAGGGGACATTATGTTGGGTGAAAAAGAGCGACCTTTGTTTAATGCTTCCACTACGTCGAGATTATCACACATGACAGAGATCCTCTTTCTCTGCCACGTGTGATTCCACAGCGCGCAGCCACGACCACTGGGAATATCTCGTGTAGGGCAGAGGAGATGCTCCGGTGGAAAGTAGCGGCCACGCTCGGCAAACCACTGGTCCTGGAAGAATCCCCCAAAACCCACGGAAGGGGCAGCGTCCGTGTAGAAGCGGAGACCTGTAGGGGCAGAGACATATCGGAGAGGGCCATTGATGTTGCAGGCGCCCTTACGCTTAGAATCTTGGGTTGGAGAGTAGATAATCAGGATAGTAGGATGGTCGGGAAAGCCGTGTCTCGGACCGCATGAAGGTTGAGTGAGCAGTAGTGAAACGCTTATGCAGAGAAGCCATAGAAGGCGAGCAGGAAGATGCTGCGAGGAGGGCAGACATGTACTTGGAAGATGAGCCGGAGTTCAGCGCCGCTGCAGGATGGGCAGCATGATGGGGAGCCTGCGATCAGAAGAGTGAAGAATACAGGTATGGATGCCTTTGATTAGGAGTCCGATTGACGGCTCAGCGCAGCTACTCGGCCAGCTGCATCTGATAGAATCAGAAGATTAAGTAGAGAGATGAAGCATGACCGCCGAAGCGACCCTGGGAGCATAGGTGCGAGTCCAGCGCAGCGCGGCATACTCAGCCGGGCTGCGTCCATTAGAAGCAGGATAAGCTTCTGAGAGAGTGGGTTGCAGCAGTAGCAGTAGCAGCAGCGGCAGCAGCAGTAACCTCAGATAATAACAGCAATAGTCCTGTATCAAGCCGCGGCAGCCGCAGTAGCAGCCGCAGTAGCAGCAGCAGCAGCAGCAGCAGCAGCAGCGTCCTTAGAAAATAACAGTAATAATTCTGTATCAAAGCCACAGTAGTAGAATGTTGTTGTAGCTGTTCAGTGTTTCAGTAAAAGAGATGCAAGTGAAGAGAGATGGCAAAGTAAATGAAGCAGCAGCAGTAGTAGCAGCAGTAGCCGTATGAAGCAGCAGCAGTAGCAGTATGAAGCAGCAGCAGCAGTAGCAGTATGAAGCAGCAGCAGCAGTAGCAGCAGCAGCAGCTGCAGCATCCGTAGATAATAACAGCAATAATCCTGTATCAAAGCCAGAGCAGTAGAATATTGTTGTAGCTGTTTAGTGTTTCAGTAAAAGAGATGCGAAGTGAAGAGAGATGTCAAAGTACATGAAGCAGCAGCAACAGCGGCAGCAGTAGCAGCAGCAGTAACGGTAGCAGTATGAAGCAGCAGAAGCAGCATTAGCAGGAGCAGCAGTAGCAGTAGGAAGCAGCAGCAGTAGCAGCAGTAGCAGTATGAAGCAGCAGCAGCAGCAGCGGTTGCAGAATCCGTAGATAATAACAGCAATAATCCTGTATCAAAGCCACCGCAGTAGAATATTGTTGAAGCTGTTTAGTGTTTCAGTAAAAAAGATGCGAAGTGAAGAGAGGTGTCAAAGTAAAAGAAGCAGCAGCAGCACGGCAGCAGTAGCAGTATGAAGCAGCAGCGGCAGCAATAGCAGCATTAGCGGCAGCAGTAGCAGCAGTAGCGGTAGCAGTATGAAGCAGCAGCGGCAGCAATAGCAGCAGTAGCGGTAGCAGTATGAAGCAGCAGAAGCAGCATTAGCAGCAGCAGCAGCAGCACAATGCGATTCATACGAACAACAGACGTGTCACGCCAGCGTGCGCCGCTTGTCTCCGTGAGCCAGGTTACATACGTGTCTGAAAGAGCCGAGCCGTAGAGACAGGTGCAGCCTGGGAGCCCGCGGAGCGGCAGCGGCAGGAACAGCGGCAGCGGCACATGTAGTAGTAGGAGCAGCAGGAGCAGGCAGCAGGGACAGGCAGCAGCAGGAGCGGCAGCAGGAACAGGCGGCAGCAGGAACAGGCAGCAGCAGGAGCGGCAGCAGGAACAGGCAGCAGCAGGAGCGGCAGCAGGAACAGGCAGCAGCGGGAACAGGCATCAGCGGGATCAGGCATCAGTAGGAACGGCAGCAGGGACCGCAGCAGCGGCGGTCAGAGAACCATGCCCATGGTTGTTTAAGAGCCTGAGGAAATAAATCAACCCGAATCCGAAACATTCCCATGCGAATAACAGACGTCCCCTGGAGCCATCTTGCTGCTTTGGTTATGGCAGATACGCATGAACGATCACTTTTCCATGCGTTCATTAGCTCCAACTCCACTTCAAACCCATTGCAGATTCACATTGGGCCCCTTTTCTTTCTGCTGCACTTTCGAAATGCAACAACTGCAGTTTAGTTACCCAATTGAATACCAGTGACCTAGCTATTTAAATGCATGGCCCCTCCTTCCTCCTGCAGATAGACGAATTTAAATACATTCATTTAACAATAGTGACCTGCGAGTAATGAGATTAATGCTGTAAAGATGGCGCCGTGGCAAGAGCTCTGTGTGTGCCGTCTGGAGCACGATGGGTAGTCTTTGCACATTTTTTCCAACGTGGTTTTACTGCAAGTGGCAGAACATGAATCTGAATTAATGCACATTGCTCCTCTTATATCCCTCAGACATTGGAGATTGATGCCATTTAAGATGCATTGTCCCTCAGTTAGCTCAAACACGTGTAAAACGGAGCCTGCAGACCAAGCACGGGGCGAAGACTGACGCCTGCAGTCAAGTGCGTAGGGCAAAAACCAGCCGCCTGCAGCCCAGACTCCGGGATTAATCTGTTCGCGGTCGGCACACTCACTGTACTCACATGCCAGGAGACTTGGGAAAGCAACGGGACAACGCGGCACCGCCAATCGGAGGCAGGGACACGCACGGCACCAGCAGACCACGAGGAACGAGCAGCACAGAACCTGCAGAGGGGCCCGCAGAAGAGCCCGCAGAGGAGGAGAGCAGTGGAGACACGCGAACCACAGCAGGTGCAGGGACGCGGAGGAGGAGCAGACCACAAGCAGCCAGACTGAGGACAGCCGGGCCACGCGCACAAGCAACACGTGAGCAGAAGCGACCCCTCCAGAACAACGCATGCATTTGCGAACAGGTGCGTTAGCGACATGCACCTTGCAGGCTTCAGAAGTTTGCAAACTTCAGAAGGCCGGGAAGTGGGCGTCTCCGGCTTTTAACTTGCTGTCCTGGTGGTTATTGGTGGATTAGATGTGGGCGTTTTGCTGGTGTAATGAGTAGAGGATGAGCAGGCTTGTAGATCTGGCAGCAGCGGCCGGGTCTACCACAGTGAACTTTCGCGAAGAGCTTCATATTCATTAACAGAGCAGGTCGGAGCATGAGTGGGGGCATCATGGCTCCTTGAAGTTACTAACAAATTTTTGGCACAAACTTAATTTTGATATATTTTTTCATTTAGACTTTAATTGTTGCTGTTCGAATAAATAAAAACATCTTAGATCATTATGTTTTTTCCTGCATTAACAAAAATGCTCCTCGCTTTAGATTAGGGTACTGCAAAATAGTGTAATAAGCAGTTTATTAACGCATATTTTTAGTGGCCTATTACCACTATTGCCTATAAATAAGCAGCGTATTAATATCTTTATAGGCATATTGTTAGTGGCCTATTAACATGGTATCGATAATAGTTTAATAAGCAGCTTATTCATATATTTATAAACATATTCCTCCTTTAATAAGTATCTTACTAATTACTTATTAAATGCTTAAAAGCATATAACTAGAACAACATCATTTAGAGAATAGTGAAATGAGCAGCTTATTAATATGTTTATAAGTACATATAAGCAATCTATAAGCATGTTGCTAATGTCTATTAATACCTTATTAATACTTAACAAGCACACCTTAATATAAAGCGATACCAAGATTTATAATAATAATTTTCTTTATCATGTATATTATAGAGTAATGTTTAGATTATATATATATATATATATATATATATATATATATATATATATATATATATATATATATATATATATAATTAACGATTAATATATGTGTTAGTACATGTGATTACTGGTAATATAAATGGTATTATATATGGTGGTTATACTTTATTCACTCTTGTTTGTGTGTCAGCATGTGCATGTTATTCACATCAAAACTCACCAAGATAGGCTTTGTAAAGAGTGCTTTTGACACCACTTCTTACAACCTTGGTCTTCATTGTGGATTTTTTTACCACCATCATCAGTAGTAGCCTCTGGTGCAATCCCCTAGAAAATATTAAAATAACAATTTCCAGATGAGCTCCACTTTGACATTCAAGGTCTACCTGTGTCCTAGGCCGATGCCATGATTGCAATGTACTTGTGCAGGATAGAGGTAAGGGCACAGTTTTAAAGCCCAGTGTGCGATGGTGAGCCATTTGGTATAGAAGAGCCACCAGGTGATTGCACAATGCCCTTCCAGCGGCACACGAGCATGAGATTCCTTGCACAGTTGGGATATTACATGAAAGGAAGGTTATCTGTGAAGTGAAAACAAATGTGAGTGAGTATATAGGCAACAGATTGCAAATTTACTGACCCTCCCTTTCAAAGAAACCTATTTTAGCTACACTCAAAGTAATGAAACCTGAAGATAATGAGCTTCCTCGTTTTTCTTCATTGACCTGTGACATCTTCCCCTCACGGTAACCTCACCCTGAACTACATTAGATACTGATGAAAATAATCTTGTTAGAATGTAGAATTTCTTGCTTGAAAATATATTGTATGAGTAAACAATTTCCTAGCCTTTTCTCAATATATTATCCAATCTTAAAATTACACTCACCCTGGAAGTTGAAAATATATCCTTCATTAAAGAATTTGTAGCCTTTGTCCAGTTTAGAACGTTTGGTCAATGAATATTTGTCCACAATCCTCTGGACATCAGCAAATTGTATTTGAGGAAGATTCAAAAGTGATATTGTAAATTCCATCTTAAATTCTCACGCTGCAAACTAAAAAAGAAAGAAGAATGAATTAGTTATATAGAAACAACTGTCTCAGAAATAACATTCACAATGTAGTACTCTTGTTAACATGTCTACACTACGATATTGTTAATATAATGCTTTTCTAAAACAAAAAGAATCAGCCGTGCAGGTAACTGGATGCTAACTTAGCCTTTAGCTTGACAAACCACCGATTTTACTAAGACACAAACCTTTTAGGGAGAAATATTCCAATAAATGTGACCGTACCGGGGTGCTCCCTACATAGCCCGAAGGAAGTTTCTGAAAAAGCAGAAGATATTGAGATATTTCAACTCGTTTCTGAAAAGTATGATCCTGTCATTGACTTACCGCGAAACCGGAAGTTGCTTTCTCCGAGAAGGCGGAAGATGGCGGACAAGGGGCGTGGCGTGAAAAAGGTCTATGGAGGACCAAAAATGACTAAAGTATAAATAAATAAATAAATACAGGAATATATTAATAAATACATTCATTTTGGACAATAAAAACTAAATATTTACATTGATGTGTTAAATATTACTATGAAATCAAATAAATATACTTTTATTTAGGTTATTTATCAAAATCTACATTTTTTCCTTTATTTATTTATCCATTTATTGCATATATTTATTTATGTATTTCTACATTTCTTCATTTATTTATTTATGTATTTCTACATTTCTTCATTTATTTATTTATGTATTTCTGTGTCGCTACATTTCTTCATTTATTTATTTATGTATTTCTACATTTCTTCATTTATTTATTTATGTATTTCTACATTTCTTCATTTATTTATTTATGTATTTCTACATTTCTTCATTCATATGTATGTATTTCTGTGTTGCCGTATGCTAATTAGGCGGGCGGTGCTGAACTCAATCTAGAACAGGATTGGTGGGCAGTAGGTCAGCCAGGGCAACCAGACAGAAGCAAAGTTAAGCCTAGCGTACATCGACAGAGAAACTGGAGACAAGTTGCAAGGCGGCTTTTGGCAACTGAGAGGAGATGATGGAGATGATCAGTTGAAATCGGTCGATGTGCGCGCTCTTACAACTGGAGATAAACAGTCGGTCTCCAGTTTCAGTCAGTTGCCCGTGTTCTACTTTTCGGCAACTAGTTGTCCTCAGTTTCGGAGATATGACCCGATGTGCGCGCTCCATGCGCCGCTCCGACAACGTGTGTGTATTGCGTGTATTGCGAGCCCGCAACAGTTTATGTCAGAAAACACACTGTAGTTGAGGCCAGTTGCTGTCGATGTACGCGCTGTTATTCCCGAGACTGGTCTGCTACTGGGAGTTGCCCGTTTTCGTCAGATTGTCGATGTGTGCGGGGCAGCAACTCATATGCGACGGATATAATCAGTTGCCAGTCCGATGTACGCTAGGCTTTAGCCTTCTCGGTTTGTGAGAGGATGTGAAGCTGCTGTATAGCTTGTTGAAGAGCGTCCAGCACAGTTGCATCAAAGTCTACCTCTGGGTCAGCACTGTGATGAACTAAAACATTTAATAGTCTTTCCAGCCGAAAGAGTAGATAGTCCTCAGGTGCATTATGCTCAACATCATTAACATCATTTGCTAATGCTCTTAATTGATGAGCAATGGCTCCTAAAAAACTTACATTCGAAACTGCCATCATACCACACAAAAGTGCACAGAGGATCTCTAGCTAGCTAACAGAGTACCGTAATGTGAGGCAGTAATGATCGAGACCAGAGTTCACGCAATCGTAACCAATCCTGTTCTAGATTGAGTTCAGCACCGCCCACCTAAATAGCATACAGGAACACAAAAATACATAAATAAATAAATGAAGAAATGTAGCGACACAGAAATACATAAATAAATAAATGAAGAAATGTAGAAATACATAAATAGATAAATGAAGAAATGTAGCGACACAGAAATACATAAATAAATAAGTGAAGAAATGTAGAAATACATAAATAAATAAATGAAGAAATGCAGCGACACAGAAATACATAAATAAATAAATGAAGAAATGTAGAAATACATAAATAAATATATGCAATAAATGGATAAATAAATAAAGGAAAAAATGTAGATTTTGATAAATAACCTAAATAAAAGTATATGTATTTGATTTCAGAGTAATATTTAGCATATCAATGTAAATATTTAGTTTTTATTGTCCAAAATGAATGTATTTATTAATATACTCCTGTATTTATTTATTTATTTATTTATTTATACTTTAGTCATTTTTGGTCCTCCATACCTGCCAATCACCTTATTAAATACTCTGATTGGCATAATAGTTTTTCAATTGAGGAATGCCCGCTGAAATTCGATGGAGGCGGGGCTAAAGGTTGGCTGGAGCCAGCTTTTTCTTTAATGCAGAAAAAGCTGATTTTTAACATAAGATATCTCACGTGACGTCACGATGCCTCAAACTCGCGGGGCATCCGCCATACTGGAGGGTGAAGATGGCACTGCTGTGATCGGTTGGTGTTTTCCGAGCTGAGGAAAGAACCCTGGACAAATCTCACAAATGACTGGTAAAGTCCTTCAGAGTTGCTAAACGGACATTTTAACGTATGTAGAACAAGGAAGGAACTTTATATCACACCACGCAGTTTAAATTTAAGTCAGCAACAGTCAAAAGAAGCTAACGGTAGCCAAGATGCAAGCCCCGATTCCCGCCACTGAGGAGTCCGTTGTATCGACGGACATGGATATTGAAATTGTGAGAGAAAAACGGCACCTAGACGTCACCCACTCGTATGCCTGTAACTCCAAAAACAACGGTGAATGTGACTCTGGTCCAGAAACACCGACTAAAACCGGCACCTCGAAGAAGAAAGCAAAGGTGAACATGGAAAACGAGCCGCAGTTGTCACTACTTGAAGTGCAAGAGAACATAATTCGTGTTCTTACTTCGAAGACAGACGAAATCAACAACCACATGAACGACATCAAGAAACTTGTGAACAAAAACACTATGGAGATTGAAGGCTTAAAAAAGTCTGCTGACTACTGCTTTCTGGAAGTTGCTGACCTGATAACAGAAAATACCGCTCTCAAGAGTAGATGCGAAGCTCTGGAGGGTAAAATGCAAGAAATGGAGAAGAAAGTCAACGAGATGGATGCTTACAGCAGAAGGATGAATTTGAAAATGTATGGCATTTCTGAAAGTCATGGGGAAGATATTCGCTCTAAAGTCGTGAACATTTTATCTGCTGTCCTGCCAGACAAAAGCAAAGTGGAGGCTGCAGTGGATGTTGTTCACCGTCTTGGGCGACACAGTGACGTGAATGGCGGGAACACTACAAAACCAAGGCCAGTCATAATCAGATTCTCCAAACGGGATACAAGGGATGCAATCTGGAGTGCATCAAGGAATCACGGCTACCTCAAAGCACACCGCCTGTGGTTCAAGCAGGATTTGACAACAGTTGACAAGGAGAAGCGAAAGCAGCTATGGCCAATTGTGGATAAGGCAAGGAAGGAGGGCAAGGTTGCTTACTTCGTGGGATCTCGTGTTTTCGTGGACAAGAATGAAGTTTTTGCTGACTGAAACTGCATCTATTCCAACAGAAGATGAGTATATTCTTCCCACAGGAATGTTCAAAGATGTATAAAGCAACTCAAAGTTAATCTGAGTGAGTTGTCTGTTCTGATTTGTAGCTGGTTTGTTTATGTCTATTTCATTGTTCTCTTGTAATGCCAGGTGCTTACGTAATATGTTGAAGAGGAAGTCAGTATTTTTGTATTGTTCAAACAAACGCTCTGATTTTTACTTTGTTCAGGAAACACATTCAAATGTTGAAGATGTTAAATTTTGGAGGAGTCAGTGGGGTAAATATATTTGGTTCTCGCATGGAAATAACAAGTCTGCAGGAGTAGCTATTTTACTCGGTGAGTTCAAAGGACAAATTAATATTTATGCCAGCAACAATAAACAGCAAAATTCTGCCATCAGTATTTATACACATTTCCATTTGCTAAAACAATCTGGGGGGGATATTATAATACATCACTAAATGACGCAGTTGACAGATTTCCACCCAAACCAAATAACGTAGGTAATGACTTGCACAATCTATGTTTAAGACTTGAGCTGATAGACATATGGAGAAAAAATAATCCAGATGAAAAAATATTTACATGGAGTAATTCTAGTTTCTCTCAACAATCGAGAATTGATTATTGGTTGATTTCTAGTGATATAGGTGAAAAGGTTCAAAATGTTTCCATTGACCCCTTTGTTTTATCTGATCACGGAGCTATCTCTATAAAGATAAATTTAAGTAATGTTTGTTATGATAAAATATCAAACAATTATTGGAAATTTAACAAATGTCTACTAGAAGATGAAAACTTTATAAGGGAAACCAAAGATATCATAAAAAAAATTCTGGAGGCAAGCATGCGCGAATAAAAATGTAGGTCTTAGTTGGGAATTGATGAAATTTGAAATAAGAAAACTGGCTATACGCATGAGTAAAATGATAGCTAGAAGGAGACAAAAATCAGAACTAGAAATTGTTACAAAAATAATACATCTCTCCAAACAAAAACAATTATCTCCGCAAGATGCTATGGAATTGTCTAAATTGCAAATTCATTTAGACAACATTTACGAATCTAAAGCTAAAGGTGCCTTCGTAAGGTCAAGACTTAGATGGATGGAATATGGTGAAAAAAATTCTAAATATTTCTTTAACTTGGAGAAGAGGAGGAAGGAAATGTCTTCAATAAAAAAGCTTATTATCAAGGATACAACAACAGAAGATCCTGCAATTATATCTAAATATTTAGTGGACTTCTATCAAAATCTATACTCTTCTTCTAATCTATGCTTAAATGATATTCAAACATTTCTAAATACAATATCTCATAAAGTTAAGAGAATAGATGACAATTTTAAAACAGTATGTGATGATCCATTTTCTCTGGGAGAAATTGAAAATTGTATTAACAACCTTAAGGATAACCGGGCTCCAGGAAATGATGGCTTAACAGAATTTTATAAGTTTTTTAGTGATCTTTTAGCACCCTTTATTCTTCTTTTATTTCAAGAAGCCGTAAATGAGCAGGAATTTCCTGCATCCCTTAAGCAAGGTGTAATCACCCTCATACCCAAACTACCCAAATTACATATTGACAACTGGAGACCCATCACCTTATTAAACAATGACTGTAAAATGTTCTCCCTTATTCTTGCCAAAAGGTTAAAAACTGGACTTGAAGATATAATAGATGAGGAACAATCAGGATTTATGCCGGGTATAAATATTCATAACAATATCAGGCTTATACTGGACATGATTGACTATAATTACCTGATACCAACTGAGAGTTTCATACTATTTATTGACTATTATAAAGCCTTTGACACTGTCGAACACATTTTTTTGTTCAAGGTAATGGAATTTTTAGGTTTTGGTCCAAATTTCTTGAAAGAAGTTCAAACACTGTACAATGGCTGCAACAGCTCAATAAAATTACATTATGGTACTACGCAAAGATTTCAACTTCACCGTGGTTTGAAACAGGGCTGCCCGTGCTCTCCCTTTTTATTCCTTTTAGTAGCACAAATGTTGGCTTCATATATCAAAATGGATCATTTTAGAGGTATTTCAACTTTAGGTACTGAATTTAAAATTTGTCAACTAGCCGACGACACTTCATTGTTTCTAAAGGATAAAGAAGAAGTCTCAAAAGCTGTGCAATGTGTTAGTCAATTTTCTCATGTCTCTGGCCTAAAAATAAATCTTAAAAAATCTGTTCTCTTCCCACTCAAAGAGTGCAGACTGACCCATGTCGATGGAATTGAAGTCAAAGAAACTGTTACCTATTTAGGCATAACAATTTGTTAAGATGAAAAGTTACGAACCAAACTTAATTTTGACCCAATAATAAGCAATACTCAAAATTTATGGTTATCACGTGATTTATCTTTACATGGGAGAGTGCTCTTGTCTAAAGCTGAGGGCATATCTAGATCAGTTTATGCCTCACTCTCCTTGGAAATGCCCATCGAAATATCAAAATCACTGAACTCGCATATGTATAACTTTATATGGAGGAATAAACCACATTATCTCAGGAAGGAAATTTTAACAAACAGTAAAGATAAAGGTGGTTAAGAAGTGTTGGATTATGATTCATTAAACAAAAGCTTCAAAGTCAACTGGATTATTAAATTAATAAAAAACAAAAAAACAAGTATATGGAATATTTTCCCTGATTCTATTTTCAAGAATGTGGGAGGAATTGAATTTCTTCTCAAATGCAACTATTCTGTTAATAAACTACCTATTAAACTGGCAAACTTTCACAGACAAGCATTCTTGGCATGGACTTTAGCATTTAAACATAATTTCTCACCCCACAGATATTATATCTGGAATAATCAAGATATTCAGTTTAAACATAAATCTCTTTTTATTCAAAGGTGGTTTGATTGTAACATCTTTCTTGTAAAGCAACTAACCAATGAGAATGGTATATTACTATCTTGTGATGAATTTCTCCAAAAATACAATCTGCCTGTCACGCCTAAGGAATATGCTGTGGTGTTTGATGCCATCCCACAAGGTGCTCTACTGCTTCTCAAAGACTGTTCCAAAGACACTACTTGTAATACCAACATAGGACAATGGAGAGATGGCATTTTTCTGGGGGACATAGACATTCTCAACAAAAGATGCAGAAACAAGGACATACGAAATATTATTTTTGGAAACACTACTCCTCCATCTCAACATGTCTGGGTGTCTCTATATGGCAGTGTCAATTGGAAGAAAGCATGGAACGTCACAAACACATACTGCCTAACCAACAAGATAAAGGAGGTGTCTTTTAAGATTCTTCACAGAATATACCCCGCAAAACATGTTCTGGAACGGTTTAAACTGAATATTGACTTTTCGTGCGTTTTCTGTGGACTACACAAGGAAACAATTATTCACTTGTTTTTTGAATGCATGTACTGTAAAATATTTTCGATTGATGTTCAAAACTATCTCTACCGGAAAATTGGACAATTAATTATTTTAAATGCCAAAGATGTATGTATCTATTTTGATCAAAAAATTGATAGAGATGTGAAATTTGTTATTCAGCTTTATATTTTAATGGGAAAATATCACCTACATAAAATGAAATGGGCTGACAAAAAACCAAACTTCTATACTTTTCTTGCAGACATGAACCTATACTATTAATTCAATACAAAATAAAAAAGCAGGTAAAACAATGTATATACTAGAAAAGTACAGTCTTACTCCTGGCTCCTCTTAATATTTTTGGTATGAATGCTGTTGTTTTTTTTGTGTTTTTATGAATTATCTTCCTCTGGTGTAATGTGTGTAATGTATCCCCTGGCACTATTTCCTCATTGTTGTAACTACATGTATAAACGTTAAATAAAAAAATAAAAAATCCGCCATACTGGAGGACAAGCAAACGCTGTATGATAGTGGCGTGCACCTGGGACCGCATAAACATGTTCAAAATGTTTGCCGTTTTTGGCTGCAGCAAAAGGAGAGACAGGAAAAATAAGTTGTGTTACCGACTGCCAGCCGTCCTTACTTCACACGGCTCAAAAACAGAAGACATCTCAAAGAAACGAGAGAGAAATGGCACAACCATACGCAACAACAAAAAACTAATAGCCACCAGAGCGCCCGAATATGCTCGGATCATTTCATTTCTGCTAAGTGAAATCAATTTGATGGCGGATTTAGTGTTATTCCGAAACAAACAGAAGTTTAAGGATAAAACATATCTGTCTGACTGCAACGTGGGGTTGCTCCATAGACTGTAGCTTAGCTTGTAGCATAGCTGTTATATATTTGGTCTCACACAGGACCTCACCCGGTTCACAGGGTATCTGACTTACCGAAGGCCAGCAGACATGTGAACGACTGAGCCGTGCTCGAGGGTGCCCCGTACTAGTATTTATTAATAAAATATACGGCTCCTCACAGTAGACGCAGAAAGCTCCATTGATTTGAATGTAATCTCATTATTTCCACTGCAGTGTAGCCACACATAGATCCATGGTGTAACAATAAACACATTAAATGTTAATCGGAGAATACATTATACATATACATTCTTAATACACGTGCACACAGTGTTGCCAACTTAGCGACTTTGTCGCTAGATTTAGCGACTTTTCAGACCCTATAGCGACTTTTTTTCAAAAAAAGCGACTAGCGACAGATCTAGACAAAGCATTAAAATCATTAAATGTTGTTAATGTTGAAATAATTTTTTTACATTTGTAGTTCTAAACATATTTAGGGTGTTTTTTACTCACTTTTGTCTCTCCCACGACGTTATTCCTCTCTCCTACAGCGTCCGTTACAGTTATTTGCAAATTGCCAATTATGCAAATTAGGCAATGACGTCATTTAGCGACTTCTAGCGACTTTTGGGACAGCCAATAGCTACTTTCGCGGTAAGCCTGGTTGTAACGACAAACATTAATAATACATTTTAAGATGCATTTCCAGAGGATCGGATTCATGAATTTAGGTTGAGTATATATTTGGGTCACTAACT